ATAGTAAAAGATGGGCGAAACCTCTTTATGACCCTTTGTAGACAGACCTGGCATGCTGACGGCCAGTGCCTGCATATGCCGGGCCAGCAACTCTCCTACGTCTTCCTTGAAATCTGCTGCGCTGGCTGCTGCCCACCCGCATAATGCACAGCGCAATTTCTTCCAGTCAAAGCGCATAGTAAAAGATGGGCGACACCTCTTTATGACCCTTTGTAGACAGACCTGGCATGCTGACAGCCAGTGCCTGCATATGCCGGGCCAGCGACTCTCTCAAGCATGTCTTTTGGCCGGGTCTGCGTGTCGATGATGGCACATGCCAGTCGAGCTTTGAGCCGCATTCTTGGTTTTTTTGCTTGTGTCAACGACCGGGATAGTCGTGATGGTACGCAACGTGCCCGGAAGTGTCGGAGACAGACGAGATTTGGACCTGCGAAAACATAGCAATGGGCTGATGTGCTTAGCCAGCATTGTGCATCTTCACAAGACGGTGTCGTGGCTCAAGCGCTCGGTCAGGCCCTTGGAAATATGCCGCGATAGGACTCCTAGACTCCTGGACAACCTCATCAAAGCCACAACCGAACTTGAAGTTCAGCGAAGTCGCAGGGGAGCTAGTGTCGCCCCTCACATGCTGATATAAAACGATCAAGCTGATGTTCTTTAAACCCACTTGTCACACGGACTGGACAAGATTAGTTCACGATTCTCAGGCCGTGGATGGGCACGGCGCGACAGCACTTTTTATGAAACGAAACGACGATTGAACGCATGATAGGACCCCTGCCACTGATGCGCCTGTCGGCGCGAAGGAATCGACCTTCATGGCGAACAGCAGCCGATACAAGCCAGAAAAAGAGATAAGTGAAGCTTGACATGATCTAGGATTCTCTAGGGCCTAGGGCCTCTACTGCACTTCGCCTGCCAGGATCGCCGGACTCGACAAAGGCTGGCCTCCAGTGCCGCACCGCCAAAGGATCGCCGCGCACGGCCGGCGACGAATCCTTTGGACTGAAGGCCCGTGAGGGCTTGTGACTGTAATGCCAGCATGGTCTCTCCGAGTCTCGCGCCGATGCCTGGGAGCACCTCACCGCCGAGCACCGCACCCGGCGGAGCCGGGGGGTTTGCCTATGAGTAGTCTCACACCAGAAAGTTTGTTCGACGAGAGAAGACGCCTCGGTGCACCACCCCAGCCTGGGAGCTGGCTTCCTCCGCTTGCTCCGTCATGCTGCTGCCCAGGGAAGCAGCAATTGCCTAGCAGCTCCACATCAAGCTTGGTGACTAGAACGTCATGTGCCACGAGCTTTGCCTCCAAATCGGCAAGTTGTGCCGCGGCAAACATCTCGCTTGGCGGCCTTGGGCAACAAACTTAAGAACTTGACCAACCTCGTAAAGTCGGGCGGGGAAGCCAGGCATCATCTGTCACTCATGCCCAACAAAAAAGGAGCAGTAGCTGTCTCCGAGAACTGGCCTTCTCGACTCATTTCTTGCTCCTTCAGCCTTGCGAGATGGTGCAAGCAATCCCAAAGCGTTCAACCTCCGAGGGGTCACTCACACACACACACACACACCCAGACCAACCAACAAACGAACATAAAGAAACAAAAATACAGCGCAACTGATGAGTGCAACAGTCGTGTTTGCACGAGGCATGAAAGTCGCCTCCTCTTCTTGGACCGACTTGCTTTGGTCAGCCTCCTGCAGGATCGTGGGCTTAACATGGCTAGCGACACGGAAGCGTTGCTGAACGAGACCCGGTGCCCTCTTTCTGTCTGATCTTCACTCCCTCTCTGCCGTCTTGGGTAGAGAGGTCTATTTGCTCGTGCCGAAGAGTTTTGCTTGGGAATCGGAAGTAGCGCATTGACCACTCAAAGCGTAAAGAGTGCTGCAATGCTGTTAGAGGGAGGAGCTGGCGTGCCAACTCAGCAAACTGGCCTTGCTATCGTGGGGAAGGTGCCTCGTCAGAGTCCGCAAAGGTCTCAGACAGCCTCATCCTCTGGTGTCTGCGACCTCCTGCGCAAGTTCACGGGCTTGCCCTCCGAGCCCTGCCTGACCTCTCACGTGCTCCAGCCTCGGAATGGAGAGCCCAAGCGCCGCAGCGGCTGCGGCGGCTTTGGTGCTGCGCAGGGTTGCAGATCACACGATGCAGCGTACAGGCCTACTCTCGGATAGTAGACGATAATGCAGCAAAGCAGAAGCTGGAGCACCTTGTATGACGGCTTCGATTTTGCTCCTCCCGGACTGAAGTCAACAGATTGCGATTCGTTTTCTGATCCCATCCAGCTGGAAACGACAACGTGACGCTCAGAATCACTGTCACTGCTATCCGGACCATCCTGACCCGAGTGCGCAAACTGCGGGATGCCGGTTCGACCGGCCTGCAGGGAGAGTATCGCAAAAGCTCATCTGTGGATCATTACAGTACTTGCACGGCCAAGCTTCGGCTGGCACGATCCTTTTTCTGCGAAGCATCTCCTCCGAGCTAGTCAAGCATAGGGGATCATGAGCACAGACATGAGTAAATTTCGGATAGAAACAGTCGATTATGGCATCATGAAGGTCGTGTCATGCTGTCCACCGGAGATGTCTGGCTCACTGCTCGTGATCTCTCAGGGTTTGTTTGGCACAGCTAGGCTGGCCTTGTTGTGGCCTAGGTCTTTGCCGCTGCACTGCAGGCATGGTCTCTAGAATCTTAGACTTGCATGATACCAGAAGTAGAGGTACTGCAAACTCGCTTTCATCCATCTCTGCAGGTGGAGCGGAAGAGTTGAAGCAGCACGTGGTGAAACTTGGATTGCAAATTCAGTTGAGCTGCTGATCATCCTCTACCTACGCTGCAATGGGTGGTAGCAAATGTCAAGCTTTGCCACCGTGAATTCCCTGTACATACTCGCGACTGTACACACACTCGCGGTGTGTCGCGAAGCGACGAGATCTTCTGGTATCGGAAACCACTGAATGTGCCAAGGAAACAGAGTGTGGCACCGTTTAACGATTAAATGTGCAGAAATACGTGGTGCGATCGGAGGCAACCGTCAAGCGATCTCAACACCTTTTTCCACAAGCTTGTGTGCATGCCGTTTCGCTTGCAGGCCCTGACTGGGATGGCTGAAAGAAGCTGAGTGAGGAGCTCGACTGGTGGAGCTCGCGCGTTGTCTCACAGGACTGATACCCAGGCCTGACGGTACTCAAGCGCTGCCCTGCCGATACACAATCCGTGATGCCATACCTCTGCAAGGACAAGACAGATCTCGGCCAACTGGCCAATGGACAGGTAGTGCCCTGCTGCAACCCACATGCTTCTGAGGGGTTTTCGTCGACAGAACACTTCATTTTGCCACGGAATGGATGGCAGTGACCTATAGCGGCATGAACCTGTGTCACTCCCCTTGCTTTGACCAAGGGTCCCACCTGACTTCGTGGAGGATTGCGCCCAGCTGGCGAATCGGCGAAACGAACTTGACCTGGCACCTGATGCACTGAGGATGCACTGTGGGGACCGGTCGTTACTTTCGTCACCGTGGGGGGAACGTGGCCTCACCTCAAGATCCACATTGACAGCAAACGACAGCAGCGGCTACTCACATGGCTTACGCATCGAAGACATGCGAGTGGCAGATGCATAGCTCGTCCCGGCCTTGACCTCTTCCTCGGTTTCCTCTTGAGGAGTACCCACAGAAGGGGTCGCTGAGCTATTCGCATTCCTTAGACTGGAACCACTGGCCGAGGCTGCGCGGAACCGTTTCAGTGCTCATTGCAGGCCCAGGCTCGGGGGTGCGTGGATCGTGGACGTTCGCATGTTCAGGGGATCCTCCGCTTTACCCCTGTACCGACTCCGTCCGACTCGTGAGCATTCACACTGTGGCCCTCTTCGAAGGGCGACTTCAGCCACAAGACCCAGTCTTTCCACTTCGTGTTCCATGCGCGTGAATCGCAACAATGGGCTCTGACACGTAAGAAGGCCTACCTGCGAAAGTAGTTTTGAAATCAAACACGTTTCTGAGTTGCCTTCGCCCATGAAACGTTTGTCGTTGGTTCGCGAAAATATGTTGCCTTCCTCCCAAATTGTTGAAAGCTCAGGGAGAAAGAAACCTTTGTTGCCACACAGAAATGACGCGCACGCGAGCGATCAGTGCAAGGATGACGTTTCGCTGCCTGCCATGTTTGGCATGCACCTGGAAAGTAGACACCGTGCTTGCAACATGGTCTAGTTGCATGCAATAGCTAGTCAGCTAGTCAGGCAGGGACGAGTGCATCGTTGAACGAGCAAGGTTCAATCAACGATGCTGCACGATGCTTGAACACAGAGAACTGCGCAGCTTCGAAGCAGCTGCTTCGGTCCAGCTTATACTTCCGGCCGCTCTTGTAGTGGGCGACCTCACCGGATCGGCAATCTGACCGACATACCATAGCCACAGCTAGTGCAAGCTGACAATCAAAGGGCCACAATCGCCTCCTCTGGCATATTGTTTGCTGATTGCAGCAAACTAGGGAAAGCATTGCTTCGGATATTGCTTTTTCCTACGTTGTGAATCAGGCAGAAAGACAGCATCACAAGAACTCCGCAGGCTTCAGCACTTCGGGAGCATAGGCAGTCTACAGGGAATGCCCGAAGGGATGAGAGGTGGCAGGTGATCAAAGAGGCCGACTTCTGTCGAGTCTGCATAGCAATGCACCGGGAGCTGAATTTTCTTGAACTGGGATATCTTGGGTCGCTGACTGTTTCCGTGGGAGCCTGGAGCCAAGCGTTCTTCGGCACGCCCGGCTTGAAGTCCTGAGAGGAAGGCTTGCCCGGAGTTGGCATGCTTTCCTTTCTGGGACCCCCTGGTTAGCAAGTAAAGCACAACATGGACATAGTCGCACCAAAGATGCTCAGCAGAAGCTCGTAAGTGAACGTCTTCTAGAAATCGGAATAAGTCCACGCCGTTAGCAAATCCTCTGGCACAGCCCTCTGCCGTCCACCTCAAGCTCGGCTGGCCCATGTGGACCCGGGCCTGGCCATCGCCATCTGTCCTGAGCAGCGACACTGACTAGATACTATATAATATGTTATCTATTATACTTATTATCTATTGTATACTATATTATATATATATATATATATGCATAAATAAATGTGTATATATATATATACATATATATATATACATACATACATATATATATATACATATACATATATATATATATATACCACGTATATATATATATATATTATGATATGTCATATTATTCTATATTGTACTATACTCTACTCTACTACATTATGTAATATCATATTATACTATACTATATAATATTATGTAACATTCTATCCTATTCTATTATATTATTTTATATCCTATGAGATTATATTATATTATATTATATTATATTCTATTATATTATATTATATTATATTATATTATATTATATTATATTATATTCCCTTCTCTTCTATTCTGTTCTACTCTACCCTACTCTAGTCCAGTCTACGCTGTTCTGTTATATAATATCCTAGTAAACTATACTATATAGTGTTATGCTTTACTAGGCTATAGTTCATTATCCTATATTATACTATATTCTACCGTATTTTTGCATTATGCTATGTTATGTTATGTTATGTTATAATGTGTTATAGTTTGTTATACTATACTATATCATATGATAATACATTCTATCTTTACCCTGTTGTTACATTATGTTAAAGTGTATTATACGATATTATATTACATATTATATACTATATTGTATTGTGTTATATTATGTTATGTTATGTTGTTTTATATTAGAATATATTATACCTATGTTAGCTTATGTCATATACTATATTAAGTTATATAAGAATATATTAGATTATGTTATATTATGTTACACTATATATACTATATAACATTATGTTATATTATACGATACTGTATTATGCTATATTGTATTACATTATGATATATTATTATACAAATATATTTTCTTATACTATACTACATAATATCACGATGTATTCTATTCTATTCTATTCCATTAGATCAGATTAGATCAGACTAGATTAGGTTGGATTAGATTCTTTTAAGTTAGATTCTATCAGATTCCATTATACTCTGTTATATTCTGTTATATCCCAATTATATTCTATAATATTCTTATATATTATATTATATCACATAATATCTGACGGTAAGCGATAAAACACTGATAAGGTGCTATGTTCCTGCTCATGCAGACACCCCATACATACGCACCTGCCCTGATGCGTCTATACATCCGTGCATGCTTGCTTCCACACATGCAAGCATACATGCAAGCACAAAGAACATGCTTGCATACACACATAATCACACATACCTGCCGTACATACCCGTACATGCCACTAGATAGTGTTTGATGCTGATGCTTCTGTCGGTCTTGATTGGTTGCATGTGGCGCGAGAAACCAAAGGATAGTGGGCCGTCATGTGCTGGCTTGCCCCTTCTGCACTGTCATGCGATGCCGGTGTCCTTCAAGTTTCCCACACTTTGCGGTCTCGGTAAGGCGTTGACCTCAGCAAGATGTTGCGGGTTTCGTTGTCGAACAGTCCAGGACTGACATGGGCTTCGGGCTCCTGTTCAGCCTCAGGGCTTCTTCGGTTGTGGATGGAAAGAGTCTCGGGTTTGGAATTTCGGTTCGGGGCAAGAGGCTCAACGCACGATACACACTATATATGGCCGATTGGCATACCGGCTACCGAGACGGGCAAGGCTTCGGAAGCATGAGGTAAACAAGGACATGTGATTTCATTCGGCTCGTCTTTTCAAAGTAATATCAAAATTTCTTCGTGGTGTCGAGGAATTCTGACATGTCCACTTCTGATGCCTGCTCACAGCTTTTGGTGCCTGAAGGTGCCTGCAAGTTCATCTGGTCGTCCATACGAAGTCAAGCTGCTGCTGCCGCCAGTGACTCAGCCTGTCAGTGCAGGTCAATGCCACGCAGTTCTCGGAGTCTGGCAAACTGGTGAGAACCCCAATCTCAAAAAGCTAGCACGAGACCGCTTCGCTACCCTGGCTGTGGGAGTCCGAGGATGTGGCTAGCTTCCGCGGAAGGGTGCCCGAGCCCAGGCCAAGGCCACCGGCCCAAGCGCCTTTCAAAAGAAGCGAGAGGAGGAGAGGCGAGCTCAACACGTCGAACAATGGCACATCAAGAGCATGTCACATCAACCACATGCTCGTGAAAAGTAGCTGTCACTAACTAAAACTTTGGTTTCTTACTCACACATGCGCCGTGGCCTGCTCTGGCCAAAGCTTCAATTGGCATCTCGAACTGGGTGGGCTGTATCCTGCAGAGCCATCTGTCCACAAAGATCCCAAGATTTCTACTGCCCTGATACAATCGCGCAGCTTACACTCTTATAGTTTATTGTTTCATTTTATAGTGTGTTCTATTCTGTTGTAGTATATTATATTGCTAGTATGTTGCATTGCTTCGCCACTTGCCAAGCCTGGCATCAGCATGGCACTTCCCGTGCGCCTTAGCAACTCTCACGCCCTGATCGTCGTTTCTTAGGGTTCAGGTTTCGGGTTTAGGAAACCTTAAACCCTATCATGGTCTGGAGCTGCAGGGTGGGGTCGGCCAAAGTAACGTGGCATTGCTAGGTCAAGGTGCATCGAGGAAAAAATACTTCAGATATATCACTATTAATTCCTTACTATTATCATTACCACTGTTATCTATATATTGTTCGTATGATTACTATTCTTAACATTAACATTGAGCTTCATGCGCCCATTGTCTGCTGTGACTGTCTAGCTTGATTCCCGTTTGTCTTTTCAGTCAAGCCTGGAGCTTCTAAAGTAGAACAGGCATCTCAAGCGTTCAAACGGGCGGGGCGTTTTTCACACACCCCAAAAAGGATCCTCATGCTAACTTTCCCGCTGGGGGTCTTTTTTCGCGCCCTGTTTAGATGCTCAGGGTTTGGGCGTCTATAGAGTCTAGAGCAGAAGGAACGAAAGAATTTTTAAGAAGGGCTCAACCAACTACCTAACCGGCCATACAGGGTTTTTTTCACGCCCTTGGTTTCGGGGTCTATTGCCGAAAGAACAACAGAATCTTTAACGAGGCAAAACAACAACCTAACCAACAAAGCGAAAGAGATTAGAGAAATTGAAACAAAGGAACAAACCGCTCACAAAACACGAGCACAAGGAGCAAACCGCCCCAAAGACACGGGATAATCTGAGAACACGGAGCAAACCAAGCGAAGACACTAGGAAAGTCCTGAGCAAGGAGAAAACCGCTCCAAACAATTCAAAAATTTGGAAAACAAGGAGCAAACCGCTCGAAAGAGACTAGAGATATTGAAACCAAGGAGCAAGCCATTCGCAAGAGACAAAAAAAAAGGAGCAGACCGCTTGGAAGAGACTACAGATATTGAAAGAAAGAAGCGGAGTTTGAAAACCAGGAGCAAACCGCTCGAAAGAGACTAGAGACCTTGAGAACAAGCGAGAAAGAAGCTGGGGAATTGAAAAACAACGAGCAAACCGCTCGAAAGTAACTAGAGAATTCAGAATAAGGAGCAAACGGCTCGAAAGAGATTAGAGAGCCAGCGAAGGGCAAGAAGCCCTCGAAGGGCAAGAAGCCCGCGAAGGGCAAGAAGCCCGCGACGAACGGGCAGGAAACCCGCTAAGAGCAGGGAGCCAGAGAAGGGCAGGACGCCGGCGAAGGGCAGGCTGTTATGAACCTAGTGCTCTGAAAATACGGCCATACAAAAGCTGTGTACATATATCGAAACACATTATGTTTAACACAGATATACTGAATGTACACCGTATGTTTGTACTAATTAGGAAGATGATATGCATATATACACATATATATATGTATATATATATATATACATCGATGTATGTATGTGTGAGTGTTTGCCTCTGCCTATAACATATATATATATATATACGTACACATCTA